AAGAGGAAGAAAATGAACAGCCAACGGTAGCTGCTAGGAGACATTGCAAACAAGAGGACCATTGATTGAGCAATGGCAAAGTTTCAACCTAACCGATTTACAAAGTTCATTGCAAGTTCCATCCATTCATCCATTATCTTTATCTGCTTCTTCCTTTGTGGGTCGCAGGAATCACTGGTGCCCATGTCCAGCCATCACTGTGCGAGAGGCAGGGGACACCCTGGACAGGTTTCCAGTCCATCACAGGGACACATGGAGACAAACGACCATTATCACTCTCACTCACACCTAGAGACAATTTAGAGTTACCAATCAGCCTAACATGCAAGTTTTTGGTCTGTGGGAGGAAAACGGAGTACCTGGGGAAAACCCACACATGCACAGAGAGAACATTCAAACTCCACCCAGAAGGGCCTCCAGCCGGGATTTGAACCGGGGCGCCCTGCTCGCTGAGAGCCCAGAAGCTCTACCAACTGTGCAGCCATGCAGCCTCATTGCAAAGTTTTATTGTAAAATAATTTTAGCAGCATTTAGTGGTTGAAAAACAGGGCTTGCATGCTATGATTTGTACTTGCCTTGATTAACAAAAAAAAGTTCCTATGTCAAACATACTAAAAAAGTGAACCCCGCACTCTGCAACGGGACCAAATGCTGTGGAGACATTGAAGAAAACAAGTAAGCTAGCTCTAATGTGATTCATAAATAGTCATTGCTACACAACCTTGTGACTGTTCTAAGCAAACATCTTGTTTGAATGAAAACGGGTCTTCTTTGCAGTAGAGAGTACATCTTTTGTTTCTTTAAGGTCCGAGTTTTCACATTTATTGTTTGAAGTGTGACCATGGATGTATCAATAATAATAATAATAATAATAATAATAATAATAATAATGTGTTATGTATTGTCATCAAAGTATGTTCCCATACAATGGCAAAATTGGCTCTCTGCATTTAGCCCATCCACCCCCAGGTGGAGCAGTGGGCAGACATTGAAAGCGCCCGGGGAGCAATTGGGGATAGGGTGTCTTGCTCAGAGACACCACAAGATGTGCAATGACTGGGGATCGAACCTGGGACTTTCGGGTCCCGAGTCGGCTTCCCTGCCTCTAAGCTGCACTGATAATCACTGAAAATGAAAATGTGAAATTCCTGGAAACTAAACATTTTCATATACATTCTAAACTTCAAGTATAGCAAAGTTTTTGTGATGAAAACTATGATGTGACAACCAAAAGGAAAATCAAGCTAAGTTATTCAAGGAGATCTAGGTTAACCTTTGAAATAGAGGAAGAAGCTCAGATATCTGTTAAAGTTCAAGTCCAAGAATCTTTATTATACTCTAGGGGCAATTTGTTTCACACTCAGTAGGCACAAAAAACATCCATACTAGACAAGACATTAAGACATTAAAATAACTGTATATAAAAAGAATAGAAATCATCACTGTTCACTGAGAAACCTGATTGCTACAGAGAATGATTTTTTTCAGTCTGTTCATCCTACATCTGGGAAGCAAATACTCGCGTCCAGATGGAAACAACCTGAACTCACCATGGAGTGGATGATCAGGATCTGCCAGAACCAGCCTGACCTTGTTCACTGACCTCGCCTTGTGTAGGTCAGTGAGGTTCTGTAGGGCTATGCCAGCAATTTTGCTGCACACCCTGACAATCCCCGAGAGTTTGTTCCTGTTTTTTTTATGTCAAAAGTCCGAACCAACAGATGAAAGTGACAGTTAAGAGACTCAATAAAACATTCTCAAAAGTAGAATCAACATTTAAACCATGGAGCTTCTGATAAAAATAGATTCTCTGATGGGCCTTTGTACAAAGTGAATTCACATGGGGGTTAAATGTCAGTTTGTCATTGAGGACAATTCCCAGATATTTAAATTGATGCACCACCTCGACAACCTCACTGTTGATGACCACAGGCGTGGCATTATATTATCTATAGTCATCTGAGGAGACTATAGATATGAATTCCTTCTGTGTGTGTCTTTGGAAAATTTCTGCAAATGTTCGCAAGCTAGAGAAACCTTGGGGTAGACCCAGCGCAAGCTGGATGAATTCCATATCTAATGTGGTTTACAAACATCTCAGATCCCCCAGGAGGAGCTGGCAGACAGTGATAGGGAGAGTGACATCTGGGCTAGTTTGACCTAGCCTCGGGGAAGAAACGGTACGGATGCAGAATGTGGACACCTGCAGTTATTGTAAATTAATAAATACAATGGATAAAACTTCCAGAAGTTGACTGAAGGACATCTATAGGGACACTTCTGTGAGTAGTTTTCTATTACTAATGCACCTTCTAATCATCTGCAATTTAGGTTAAAGATAAACAGAGAGAAATCCTCAGAATCAAATGTTCTTTTCCTGAAGAGAAGTTTGATTTTCAGGCTAGAGGCTCCCTGAGAGAAAAGATGGTGTCCTTCATGGATAAAGGAATCTGTTTAATAGCAGAGGTCTTTGCTGACTTTTGGCATATAACAGGGTCCACAGAGAGACCCGAAGGCCACATCAGCACAGTGAGCAGAGGAGATATATCTTGTAGACAATCTCCCTCAGCAAAGAAAAAAGGCCAATATTGTTAGCTGCTGTCCATAAGCTGCATCGCAATACTTGCCTTAAAATAAAATTAAATAAAAACTTACATTATGCAAAAGTCTCACAAATGTAGATGGTTATATTGTATAAAATGACAACATGAGCTATTGCCTTATTGGATGTATGTAATTAAAACATTTAATAGTTGAACTGGGACAAGATCGGAGACTACTCTTTTTTTGTTCAAGCTGTATCCAAGTGACCAACATAGCATCAGTTTTAGTTTTGACCAGTTAGACTATTTTAGTGACTTGACAGATTTTACTGCTTTTTGTAATTTAACATTTATGCAAACCATCTTACAATATATCTTTACAGTTAATAAAAAAAGAGAATCAGCATACTTTAAATCCTTTTTTAAAGCTGGAGAGACAGTCTTAGTTGCTAATATGGCACAGTTATTTATGAATGTTTGCTTATTTTTGTTGATAAAAGAGAAGCTCTCGATCTCTGTAAACCCTGCTGTCAGTGCAGCTACAGGCTCCAAGAAATATGCATTTGCTCCTAGATCCATCTTGACATATTAAAAGATAATAATGTAAAAAGATGATACATGTATGAAAGGATGTTTACCACCACTGTGAAAGAAAATACATCAAGTGAACAAATCACAAACATGTTGACGGGCTTCTGCCTACAGGCGGTCCTAATTGATTATCATGTCATGTCTGTCACCCACAGAACAGCAGTAATTATTCTTATCAGCCAGTAAAACAGTGGACATGTTAAGTCACAGGGACTACTTGTTGATGACAAATAGTACAAAAACACAGCAAACATTATTGAGAAATCATCGGTGAGTCATACTGTAATACGACTGAATCATACTGTGGATGAATGAACACTTTGGACCATGGGCATTTATTATTATTATTATTATTATTATTATTTTGGTAAGAATAAGTAAAAGTGCTCATTCTAAATGGCTTCACACTGAACTGTCAGGTACTGAAACAATAATCTACATGCACCTATTATAGAAAATATTTATATTTAACTTTGTTTGATTTTATGCTTAAAATAATGTAATTACTATATCTTTCAACATGATTCTTCTTTTTTTTTTGCATTTTAAAACATTTAATGTATCGCAATACGTATTTAATGTATCTCAATAGTCTGATATTTTAAATAATACTTTCGCCTGCCATTGAAAAGAGAAGGTGTACAATGTTAATGTTATGTCCTGTGTCTGTCACCAAAACATCTCATGAACCACTGCATGGATTATAATAAAACAAAGAAAGTAATTATTGGAGGGACATCAACATATCTGGAGTCAGTTCAAGATTCAATTTCCAGATGGCTTTCACAGACAACGACAAAGAATCTCTATAACTTAGTCAATTTGACAAATATTGAGGTAACGTTTGGTGTGGGAGTAGCTGACAGTCATTCCTAAGACATACTTTTGAGTGTGACAGCTTGGGATGTCACATAAAATACACATATGCACATAACTTTATTTTCAAGGTTTGAACAAAATGGATGCAACTCCATCATTTCCTAATTTAAGACTATCTTAGTCCAAAACTCATAATTTAACTATGAACACTTAATTTTGTATATGCATTGCTTTATGCAATTATAATTCCTTAATGCTTGAAAGGGGATACAGTATTGTGCATTCAAATTTTGAAAAGCTTTTTTTTTTAATTTTATATATATTTTTTTACCTCAGACTATGATGGTTTTGTCAGATTGATATAGTTACATATTTTCATATTAATATTTATTATTATTACTGTGGAATGTTTCCCCAATTAATATTTTTTGTTCAATTTACTGTTGATTTAAATACATATTTTTAAACAAAAAACAACTTTTTTTATTCTTTAAAGCAAGATAATTATTCTTGGGTTAGATTAGTTTTATGCAAAGACCGGTAATTAAAAACAACAAAGGCATTTGGCGCTCCCATGTACGGTGATATTTCCCTCTGTGTGAATGATAAAACAACTACTCGCCTCAGTCTCTGATAAATGTCAACTTTTATAAAAGAGATTAATCCAGGAAACCACTAACTCAGCAAACAGTAGATCAATATTAAAAGCTGCACTTCACGAATGCTAAACGATTTTCTTCTTCTGGACTTTTAAACGTGTTACAACTGGCAGCTGCATTAGATTAGTCAAGATATCACAGAAGAAATAAATAAAACTGATTTTAACCACAGCACTGTTTTCAGTTTCATTCCCAATTTTAATGAGCAAAGGTATTCATAGAGAAGTGAAACTGTTGCTAGTCCTCAGCAACAGATAATTAGAGGGCTTTAATGCACTTCGTATTGATTTTCCTCTTTTATCGACTCTCCACAGATTACTGGCCATGACCGTAACCAAAAACGCACAAACACACAGAGACGTTGTTTTTTTTTTTCATTTCACTCTACCTTGTCGTAGTATCTAATCTCGTAGTCAAGGATGATCCCGTTGGGCTGTTCGGGCGGTGGCCATGACAACGAGAAGCTACGGCTTGTTGAGCTTACTTGGTGCATTATGGGAACTACCGAGGGAGCTTTAAAAAAAATACACACACAAACAGTTGTTTTTACAACTTAAAGATGGACAAGGATTATTCAGCATCACATTGAAAATGATCACAAATTGACAAACATATTTAAAAGGAGAAAAATATTTCTTCTTTAAAAACTTGTGGAAACAAGTTGCTGATCCTGCCAAGTCTCCAGGAAGCATTTTCCCCTATAATTTAAAGAACCATAACGTATTAGTTGCAATCTATTTTAAGGTTTTCGCTTTGGGATTATTTGATAGAAAGGTTTTCATCCTATTTGTTCCATTTAAATGAGTTAGAAAGTCAAAGAAATTAAGGCAAAAATACGCTACATTAGTTTAAATTAAAATTACAAGTTTAAAAGAAGAAAAAACATTAAAATATAGCTGGAATTGTTTCAGAGTTTTTAAGGGGAAGATGTTTGAGAGTAAATTTTCCTAAACACACCAAAAACATCTTGCACAGTTAAGTGATCAGGATAGTAAAGAGATGGTCTGGTCATGTTTTAAGTAACGTTCTGTCAGATAGTTATCAATAGTTAGCACCTTATCAGCTGTGATATCAGGAGGAAAGGAAAGGAAAGAGGCCAAAGTTTTAAAATAAGCAAAGCTAATGGATACTTCAATACCCCACCCCCCTTTTTACAGGCTGATAAAACATCCATCCATCTATCCATTATCTTTTCCAGAGTCTTCCTTTTCAGGTCACGATGGTCACTGGTGTCCATATCCAGCAGTCACTGTGTGAGAGGACCCTGGACAGGTCTCCAGTCCATCACAGAGACACATAGAGACAAACAACCATTCACTCTCTCACTCACATATAGGGACAATTCAGAGTTACCAATCAGCCTAACGTGCATGTTTTTGGTCTGTGGGAGGAAACCCGAGTATCAGAGAAACCCCCACGCATGCACAGAGAGAACATGCAAACTCCACCCAAAAAGGGCTGGGATTTGATCCAGTGACCTTCTCGTGGAGAGGCAACAGCTCTACCAGTTGAGCCACCGTGCTGCTCGTTGATGAAACAAATCTCTCAATAACAACGTATTTGGGTAAAATCTGATCTAAAATTAACTTCTATATTTTTGCATGACAAACATTGTATAGTTTGTTGCCTTTTTTCTAAACCTTACAATGTCCATGTTCCTGTGTAAATGTTTGTGCTGTAAGAGTTTTTTTAAAAAGGGGATCACATTTGACCAATGGGATTAGCCTAGCCTAGATAAAGACTTTTGCCTCTTTCTTCATACTCCATGCTCTATGACTGATGTCACGGTCAATAAGGTACTAACTATATGTTGGCAGCACGATGGCTCAGTGGTTAGCACTGTTGCCTCACAGCAAAAAGATCTTGGGTTCAACCCTCAGTTGGACCTGTGGTCTTTCTGTGTGGAGTTTGCATGTTCTTCTCATGTTTGCGTGGGTTTTCTCCAGGTACTCCAGTTTCCTCCCACAGACCAAAAACATGCATGTTAGGCTGCCTTCAGGCCCAGGCCTCCCTTGCAAAAGAGATCTGTGATCTCAGTGGGATTTGCCAGGTTAAATAAAGGTTAAATAAAAATATATCATGATCTGTGGCGGATCGAACCCAGGGTGCAGCCAGACATGGGGAAATCGGGAATAAAATGATGAATAACTATTTATTCAAAGAAACAAAAGGGCTGTTGTGGCAGCAAAACACAAAATCACATGAGCTGGGAGACACGGAGGAAGACGGAGGAAGACGGAGGAAGACGGAGGAAGACGGAGGAAGACGGAGGAAGACGGAGGAAGACGGAGGAAGACGGAGGAAGACGGAGGAAGACGGAGCATGACGGCTCTGGGAAGCACAATACACGAACAACAAAGAAACACAAAGATGCAGAACTTAAAGGGAAACTAACGAGACATAATGATGAACACCTGGGGTGATTGGGATTGGGAGCAGATGAAGCAGGAGCTGGCAACATGAAGGAAGAAACACTGGAAGGCAGGAAACTCAAGTACATAAACACAAGGATCTAAAGAAATGACACAAGACAGACATATTCTCACAAACTATTGATGACTGTGACAGATCATCACTTTAAGATGCTCAGTAAGTTCTGTGATAAATCAAGAAGCATCACAGCTCTTAACTTTGACAGGATGAATGAGCTGTCACCTGAAAACTCCAAGTAATTTGAGAACTTCTACAATTTGCATTTTACACAGTTCTCTGCGCGCACAGTGAGTTTCATATTGCAATAATATAGAGTCAAATTTTCTTTGCATATTTTCAAAATCCTCCCAGTGTAGTCATCTTGATAATAATTCAGTTTTTGTTGAGCCTTAGAAGATCTCGGGGAGAAAAATGGTGTGCAAATGACAGCGGTAACAAATCTGCTCGGAGAGTGGCACGGTGGCAACGAATCATGTTTCGATTAGGAATGAGCCGGGCTGCAGTAGATGAAGTAAACGATGCGCTTTCCATCAAAGAAAAGCAGCGTTTAAACTCAAATTTGGGTAGAAGTGGAAGTATCACTTGTGCCTGTCTCCATAAAGTATTGATGGAGTAATAACTCGGTTACTTTTATGGTCTCTAGGAATTATACAGCAGCAGGCTGAAGGGGAGATAGAAGGCAGGCAAAGTGGTGGTGGTGGGGGGGGGGGGTAGATACAGCTGAAAAAAGGAGGACTGAGGGGAAAAGTGAGAAGAGGATTAAAGCTGTATGTGTAGGAAAGACCAAGGAAGGGGTGGAGGGGGAAAGGAGAGAAGACAAGCCTCCAACATGTTTTTTGAATTAAAAGGCTGTAGCTCAATTTCCTTTATCTTTCCAGCCATCCCTCCCACATATAATCCACGGCCCCCCAGGATATGCTTACACACTGACAAACACACACACCAACAACAATGGTGTTCGCACTTTCAACTCACCTGCTTGATTGGTTGTAATGTTGATTGACAGCTGCTGGGCGGGATAAGGACTATTATTGGACACTCCGTTGACCGCCTGTAGAGTATAAAGAGTAATGGACAGCTGGTCCGCATTATGATCATAAGATTTAATGTGCATGTATTCAAAACAACAATACTGTTTTATTTTTAACTGTGAGTACAAAAGCTACACAATCTATCACTAAAATTCAAATTCTCAGATTTTGTGTCGTATCGCAAACGCAAAAGAACTTGTATTGGGATTTAATTTTTAAAAACCACTGATTTTGTTTAGCAGAAGCTCACTAAATCATTTTGACACGGATGCAAATGGTTTAGTCAGGGCAAATTAAGATCTTAATTTATGATGATTTACTTCAGGCTCCAATTTGTTTATTTTTTTCCTAATTAATTTTATGTCTCACCATGTCCTGGTGCGTTAAATCTGCTACTTAAACTATTAAAATAGTGGGAACATTAATGAATTATGCCTAAATTGGCACCTGATTTGCTTTCAAATGTATTCTTTATACTAATTTAATGAATGCTTTGATTTTCATTGGTGCTTTTTTATTTATTTATTTTTTTTAATGGGGGGACAAGGGAGTGGTGGCATGGAGGTTAGACAAGATGGGCCTCTGATCGAAAGATCGCTGGGTCAACTTCCGTTACCGACAACATCAAAATGTGGGTGGGATAGGTGAAGCACCCACACCTGCCTCTACCCTCATTTGCCCCACTCTGGGTCCTTGAGCAAGGCACTCAACCCCCACCATCTGCTCCTCCGGGCACCCTAGATAGCAGCTCTCTGCTCTACAGACAGAGCTGTGGAGCAGGCGAAAGAAGAAAAAATAAAATAAAATAAAAATGTAATGGGGGAGAAATCAAGAATAAAAACAAAAAAAAATCTACATGATTTATTTTTTATACATATAAATTAGTACCAACTGTTTCACATTCAACAGTTAAACCTGCAGATCACTGTTTTAACCACCATTAAGCCATTGTTATCAAACCTTCCCTCTCAAATTAGAAGTTCATAAATTATTGATTCTTAGGCCACACTATTCACAAACTACGGTACAATGTACATTCAGTTTTGTTTGATCTAGTTTGATTTATGCATTCTTATAAGGTTTCACACTTCAGATGCATATGACCTCAGTTTAAATTATAAAATGCTATAGTAAGCAGCCACATGGCAGAAGACAGTAGGTCTGCCATCATGCTGGCATTGTGAAGTTCAGCGTGACCTTGTGAGATGAGAACTGTAATTCATGATTTTGCATAAAAGCCTGGACGTCAGCAATTCTATCTATTTGCGTCTAAAACACAAACTGACTGCACCAAGGCTGTTTTACAATTAGTAAATGTAACAGAATAAAATAAAATATACACTCTTACTTCTAACATATAAAGCTCCCAACAGCCAAACTCCATCTTATATTAAAGATCACGTTGTTCCATAGTTTGCTAACGGAGCACTTTGGTCGTAGACTTCAGGTTTACTTGTGGTTCCTAGAGTTTCTTAAAGTAGAATGTGAGGCAGAGCTTTCATTTATCAACCTTTCGACTTTTAAGACAAGATATAAAACACTTTTATGTTTGATAAATCCTATAGTTAGGGTTGGCTTGGGTTTGCTAAACTCTTCTATACTTATGCTGCCATTAAAATACTGAAGGACAAAGTGACATCTCCTCACCCTGCTGCTGTCTTTACTTTATTAAATTGCCATGTTTGTATACTATACAGTATATGCTTGCAACTGTAGAAACTCTGAAGTCTATTTTGTTATCTTTAAAAAGGAAAAGAAAAATAGGCATTGAAAAATATGCTCACGTTTATAATCATATATGTATATAATCTGCTAACTTTTGGAGCAGTACAGCAGCAATCCTCCTGCAGTCTCAACACTTCCAGTAGAAACAACAGTAGGGACAAACCTGGATGTCGAAAGTGTATGATGCGTGAGCCCGCAGCTTGCTGATCTCAACCCTAGTTCCCTTTAGTGCCTCCTTTCCCGGAGTAAACACCACACTGTCATCACATGGCTGGCATGCCCGCCGCTCACTGATGTGGCATCGGCGGCAGATGACGTTATAAGACAAGTCGTCACGGTGCCCGGTATCACGAGGTGGGTTCCACTCCAGGAGCACAGATGTCTGGTTCACCACTGAGACCACATTACGAGGAGCTGAGGGAACACCTGGCAAAGGAATGAAAAGAAATACAAAGAGAATGAAGACTGAATTTCCAGTTGAGAGGGACTTTTACTGACACCTGTTGCTGACCGTGCAAATTAGCCATGTTAGGATATTAATAATCTCAAAACAAGTCCCAACTGAACGCCGGCGTTCAATCAAATATTAGTGTAGCAAGGACACAATAAAACTATTTGCCTCTTTTATCAATTTATTCCTGCTAAGAGCTCAAATTTAGATTTTATATTAGTTTAGGGTGTCATTTTGCAAGCTTGAGTTTTATTCTTGGGTTCAGGACAAATTGTTTGAGTAATTATTACGGATTTCTTTGCCATACAGTATGCATTTAAAATAATATTCAAGAAACAATATTACAGATCAGTATAACATCTGAAGAGCATCTTGAAATATATTTTACAAAATGGGTTAAAATAGTAAAATTCAAAAGGGAGCAGCAACTGATACATTTATTTTGGCTTTGGCTATTTAAGGCAATTGATAAGATAAATTATTAAGGACATGGTTATTTTAAAAATGTAATGTCAACAGTTGGTGGTGATAATTTGCTGGGAAAACACGAAAAGTTGAATTCTCAAAACATGGACTCTAAAGATACAAAAAAAACCATACAGGTTTTAATCAAATAAACATGAAATATCTGGCATATTTATTTTATTATAAAACCCGATACTAACGAGTGTTTGACTGCTAAACAAATTTAGTGTAATAAAGACAAACACCCAAGATCTCCCATCGTTAAGAATGTTGTTTATCCAAAACTGATAAGGCAAGTGAACACATAAAAAAAACTCTATAAACGAGAACGAAACTGCACAACATTCAACCTCAGTCATTAAAAACACGAGACTTGTTAATTTTGCTCAGATAAGAGGTCAGATATGAGTCTGGAGCCAACTGGGATGGACCATCATGTACTGAGAATCTTATGGTCTCAGGAACACAGTCTTCGGTTACATACAGCAATATTAGTCACTAAATATTAAATAAAGAGCACACTGATGCTTTTTTCCACAGAAACCAGTGAAAATGCTACTACTGATTTGGTTTAAAGCAATTTATACAGAACAAATCCCGCCCTACATTAAAGTGAATTTGTGCTTCATCCAACACAGACAGGTCTAAAAGCTCACCGCCAGCCATGGAAACCATCGTCTCGTTGCTGTCCCCTAGATTTTCTCTCACTGCTTGTCTCCTTTTTTCACGTGGTGTCAAAGTAAGTCTTCAAAGCACAATGGGATTTTTCACAAGGTTAAACCTTGTGGGTGCACTTCTCCTTGACTGTGCAAACACATCACAACAAGTGTGACGCAGACAAAACAAGAGCAGCTGAGATGAAACGGATGTTCAACCTTGGCATATGCTAAATCTCAGTCATAAGAAAATACTGCCATGGCTCTGTGGAATATGTATGTGTGTAATCCATAAACCCACACACCAGGGCAGCTAAGCTGAAAAATCAAAGCACAAACAGGGGGAGTGAAAATCCAAGCAGTAACCTTTATAATCATTTCTGGTGTGCATTCATAATAACACAGGCGACACACTAATGCCATTTCTTTAAAGAAATATTCCACCATTCTTTTTTTATTTGTTTAAATAAATTAATGCAAATCAAACAGTCGGAGTCAAACACGCTGAGGTGCAAAGCTGCTAAGGAAAAGAGTGTTGCAATTTGACGCTCCCTGCTGCTGCTGCTGCTTCTGCAAAAAAGAGCACATCCCAAGAGTGATACACCCAACCTGCCTTTTTGTTTTTCTTCTTACGCATAATAAATCTGCCCTGTGCCGAAAAATACAGTTCAAATTAACGAGCACACAGATTGTGTACAAACTCGTCTGTACCCTTGCAGCCCTGGAGGTTCGTTAAAGAAATGCGTTTCCGTCAAACAACGATCTACAAACTGCAACTGATCTGATTTTAGATCTGACTTTTCAACATAAACAATCTGAAGGTCCAGCCTCCATTTAAAGTTTAGACTTTTCTTGTTTCAAGGCGCTTATGAATATTTGCATTTGAAAACAAAATAATAAAGTTAATTAATGTATCCTGATGCTCAATAATTCAGGTAGCAAAATCAAAAAAAAAAAAAAAAAGTTAAGTCTGGTTCTCTGGACCTCATTTCCAATCCATGGACCTGGACCAGTTCATTTAGTTTTTGCACTTGAATTGAAAGCACTAAATTCAAAGAGCTGTGTAGGATGAGTGGCTCGACACATGACACGTTCTACCTAGAAATGTTGATTGCTGCTCACTTACTATCATTTTTAAAGTGTGCTACGAGTGTTGAAGAGAGGTTTTTATGTGCTATTTCTGCTGTGACATGAAATTAACCCCACCTACATAACACAGGAAAAAAAAACACTGAATTATTTTCTATGTTTTGCATTCCAACAAAACTGTCTAAATATTTTAGCATCTTTTCAGCGTCTTGACCTGTTGGTTAGAGCGAGTTGTGACCATTTGGTTTTAATGTACAGGCTAAAAGGAACCACCACGATAAAAATAATGAGCAAGACACGCACAGATGGGAATGATGAAAGTCAAAATTGATTCCTCCTTTTAAATCTATTTATAACCTCACAGCAGCAGTGGGTTAAAGTTGTTTTCAAATCATTTCTCAACATCTTTGTTTTAAAATCTGGCATTTCATTTAATATTTAGCTGTTTTTTTTCTTTAACATTTCTTCTTTTATATTTTGAGGAAGAATGCCCTAAATTATTTTAACAAATATAACAAAAAAAAAAAACAGAGAGTACAAATCAACTGAATCGCAGCTATTCTTGGTCTTTTAATACGTAAAGTTGTATTCAGGTCACTGGGATGTGCACAGACACTCATGACTGATTACATACTCTGCACACATCGTGTACACACAGTTTCGTAGTTTGAGTCCAAAATGATTCATGTTTCAACCTACTTTTACCATCTCTCTAAGGAACCGAGAGGCTGCCTCTTTCTAACTCGGTGCTTTGCGGTGCACTGCAATATAGTCTCTTCCACAAACTAAACCCACATTCACATAAATGGAAATATGGCAATAATACTTACTGCTCCCAAAATCCCCTAACATAAATGAGTGTGGTGTAGGTTTTGGAATGAGGTGCATACATTTAGAGAGAGCATGATAAATCAAAGCAGTCGTTGGATTTTCATTTAACTATGAAATTTTGGACTGTCAGCAGAGTCTGCCTCTGATCTGCTGTAATACGTCACCCTGGTGGGAACTTCCACCTGTGCTGGTCATTTTGAGGCTTATAAAAGATGGACAGTGCGTTTATTCTGCGTGTTGACTCACTGGTGCACACGTCCTCTGGTGTGTCCATGTCCCCGCGGTAATATCCGTTCCGACAACCGCAGAGGGTGGCAGCCTCGATGGTGGAGCGACTGTTGAGCGGACACTGCTGACATAATCCTGGCCCTTGGGATGACTTAAAGGTGCCCTGAGGACAAGCTGTGAAGAAAGAGACAGGAAAACCAATTTTTTTTTATTTTATCTGCTGAACAGGATAAACAATCATGTCCGTGTCCTTCTAGTTTGTCTCGATTCTAGGACATTTGATAAACTTGATTTTAGAGAACAAATAAACAACTTGACAGTGAGAATCTGTACTTTACACTCTGTGTTGTTCTAAAAAGATGCACAGAAACATGTTCATACTACTGAAACTCAGGGGTTAATGGCACCTGCACTGGAGGCTAGTTTCATTTTTATCTCTAACTTCTATATCTTAGATCATTTATAAATCCATCTATCAGTCCATGAGCTGTACTCATATTTCTATTAAGTAGGCACGCTTTCCTTACATGGATATGCTGTTTTCCTTCAACATCAAGCTTGTTCATTTGTATATTTTAAAGCAAAATCTGAAAAAGTTGGAGTGTTGGGTAAAATATAAATAAAAACAGAAAACAATGATTTGCAAATCACAGACTCGTATAGTATCTAAAATGCAACCTAGTGAAACTTTATGAGTTAAAAAAATAAGTAATTGTGAGCTTTATGGCCACACCCCATTTAAAAAAGTTGGGACAGTGACAACACCGTAAAGGTAGGTGGTTTGACAGCTAAAGGGGCATTTTGCAACAATATAGGTTAACTGCGGCAACGAGTCGTAATAAGACTTGGTATTTGTAGAACATTTAAAGAGTATAAATCTGAGTAGAAAAGATAGGCAGAGGTCCATTAGTTTGTGAAAAATGGTCTAAAATGGATTTCAACCAAAAACCGACAACTTTGAAAATCTCAAGCTGATAATAATAAAATTTTAAACAATATGGTGACATCGCTGAGCACAAACATGATGTGAAATACTTAAAAATAACTGAATAAGGTCTCGGTTTGTCTTGCATTTGTATGTGTCCACCAGCATACCATGTTTAGTCCAAATGTTTTTCCTTTTTTAATACTCTTGTTCTTAAAGCTTCAGTTGCACAAGAAAATCTCAAACAACCTGGAAATAAAGTTATGTGTTGATACTGTAGTAAATTTGGTTATTCACTTGCCATTGGCATTATTTCATTGGCAGATGTTGGAAATTTTAGGATACTGCGCACCACCAACACCGTATGATGGGATGGGTCAGCAAATGGCATTAATCTGAGATCAGAATGCCTTTAAATGGGGATTGAAGCCTCTACAAGCTGATACATGCGAGATCTGACATGACTGAAACAGTTAGAGGAGAGTTGGTGACTAAAACTTGACTTGAGTGCAAGAAAATACGTCAATTTCCCATTAAAGTCTCAAAGAATTATAACTGTAATGAATGTGTGACTATTGTGAGAGAAAACACAAGTACAGCATACAGCAAATTATACGCCCGTCCACAAACTATTATACCCTCCTGAGACCTGAACTCTTGCATGACATGCATTATTAATTCCTATAATGCCCACATATGTGGATGCCAGGTCCTAGGAGGATAAGGCAATACACCAATGGCCCAGAATAGCAAATACCTTGTTTTAAGTTTGACTTTGATTTGTGACCTTGACCTTGAAGCTGGGGTGATGAAAATGTTTTACTGTAAGACAGTGCATGAGACTTATTCTAGTGACGATACATGTGTGTGTATGAAGTTTTGTTAAATTATCTTGAATGGATCTAAATTTATGTGTGAGACAAGAGAAAGTTTACGGATGTACAGATGGAAGGAGATTTTATCATAACGTGTCTGCCTTTCAACCAGTTTATAAAAACCAATAAGACTGCGAGTATCTGAGACTCGAGCAAGGAAATTTTAAACCCCAGCAATGGTCACATAATAATCTGGAGACTTTCTCTCAAACAATGTATGCCAACTAGATACAGCAAAAAAAGACAGAACACGTGAGCTTCACTTGACGCTGAAGTCAGGGCTCAGATCCTGTTCAACAGATATGATTTTGTTCAAAAGACAGCAATACCATTTCCAAGTTATGTGATACAGTTAATGAAATACACATTTTCCACTATTATGCCTTCTGTGTCTCACGTCGATTAGTCTATTGACCGGGAAGTTTATTCGATTTTAATTTATCCAAGGATTTGAGCTTGGCTTAGAGTATTTGCTCATGATGCAGTTTGCATGCGTGTTATTTTATTGTATGCCCGGCAGTGTACCAGGATGAGACAAACTTTGCAAAAGAAGTGAGAATTGGTGTGGACATTTGGGTGACACTTTAAGTAGAGACAATAATATGTAGAAAATAAATTGTGAGGCACATTATTTTACACATAGGCCTACTGCATGTAAAAGGGCCTTTCTTTTTTTTTTTAGCTTATTAAAACTCAAACATTAACTGAAGGTGGTAGGATTTGCTCAGAGTCTGTCTTTTCAAGGAAAGTGCGCAGAAAGTTCATATATGTGCCAAAGCGACTCTACCGTGAGGTAAAGTTCCCAGTTGCTACTTGAGAACTGCTTAATATGCATGCAGAATCCCACTTTTTTCCAGCTGGACTGGCAAACATGCTGTTACATTTTTAATTTTTGGCATCCATATTAAATAACAACCTCTGCCTGAACATGATGTTGCAAAACTTGATGTTCAGTCATTTTACTGGCTCTCTAAAATCCTCATATTTACTGTACAAAATAAAATATCCGTGAAAATGTGTCTATTTTAACCCGAAAATAATTTGAAGTTTGAGCCGTATTTTGGGCTAGATTGAAGTGTTTACTTAACAAAGAAACTGAAACGGAAATTGTGTATAGCAACTAATAAAAATTGTACTTGAACTGAAATAGTTAAATTAGATTCAAGTAAAAAAAATATTAAGTTTGATCCTGAGGAAACATTGTGAGACAGTCGAACATCTGCACTGCAACATATCTATTGTGTCGAAGTATATTGTGACCCAGAAGGGAAGCCAGTTTTTAATTCACACATGGGATTTCAAAAGTGCTTCTTCTCTCACAAACAGCCGTACAATGAAATATATATATATATATATAAAAAAAAAAAACAAGTTTAAAGAAGGCACAGAAAGGTGTAAAATATAAAAAAGAAACTCTTAAAGGAGAGAGACTATGAATGGTTTTTTATGTTCCGTTTTTCATTTTGAACTATCGTAATAAATTATTTTCCTTCCTTTCCTGTAATAAATACTTATCTCATGATCATTTAGATGCTGTAGGATCAAATTTTGAACATCACGCAGATTTATGGTAGCAGACAGAGGAGCTTTAATGAGGTCAAAATGGTGGCTGACAGATAAACGGTTTTCTGAGTATTACATGTTGAAGAGGCACAGCTGAAAACAAAGGTAAAAAAAAAAAAAGATAAAACCTAATCTCAAAAATTGAGGAAACAGGAGAAAGGAAAAAAGCAGCAATAAAGCAGAAAATTGTTGACAAGAAAGAAACACTATTAGATTACGATTTTATTATTCCAGCTCAATAGCCATATATACAGTATTTCAGCAGTGATATAAAGTTTTGTGTTTCTTCCCCAGACACGCCATGCTGTTATTTCTCACTGATTTGACGCTTCTAACATGGTTTACAAACACCAATGTGCTCCTCACATAGCTTTATGAAACAATACAGATATTGGTGGCAATATATATTTTTCATTGATCTTGTTTTTTCATTATTTAGCTTAATCAAATGAACAAGACAGCATTAATGTTTATAACAAAGCACCAAAAGCTAAAAGATGTTAGTTTTACTTTCACTTTCGTGTAGCTGTATTAGGCACAAGCATAAAGCTTTTATTTTCACAATTAGCAAATCTTGCTTTAAATGTAAGACATCAAAAAGAAGCCTAAATAGCATTGAAACTGTCAGTAGACATCTATGCTACTTTGTACAAGTTAATAATAATAATAAAAAAAAAACGTTAACTTTGTTGTGTATGTTGCATCTTCTTCTTATTTCAGCTTTTCCCTCTTCAGGGGTCGCCACAGCGAGTCATCCTCCCCCATCTCACTCTGTCCTCTGCATCCTCTGTCCTCACTCCAACTACCTCCATGTCCTCTCTAACTGCATCCATTTATCTTTTCTTTGGTCTTCCTCTTTGTCTTTTCCCTGGCAGCTGCATTTCTAACATCCTTCTACCAGTATACCCACTGTCCCTCCTCTAGACATGTCCAAACCATCTCAGTCTGGCCTCTCTAACTTTATCTTCCAGTTGTTCAACCTGTGCTGTACCTCTGATGATCTCATTCCTAATCTTATCCATCCTTGTCACTCCTAAGAAGAACCTCATCATCTTCATTTCTGCCACTTCCAGTTCTTTCTTCTGTCTTTTTGTCCTTGTCTTTGTCCAGACCATACAACATAGCTAGTCTCACCACTGTCTTGTAAACGTTTCATTTGACCTTTGCTGACACCTTTTTGTAGCAAATCACTCCTGACACTTTTCTCCATCCATTCAATCCTGCCTGGACTCAGTTTTGTATCTCTTTACCATAATCCCCATGTTCCTGGACAGTGAACCCCAAGTGCTTGAAGTCCTGCACCTTTGTGACCTCTGCTCCTTGTAGCTTCACTGTTCCACCAGCCTCCTTCTCATTCACACACATGTACTCTGTCTTACTATGGCTGGCATTCATTCCTCTTCTTTCAAGTGCATACCTCCACCGTTCTCTTCCACCTGTTCCCCGTTCTGACCACAGATCACAATGTCATCTGCAAACATCATAGTCCATGGGGATTCCTGCCTGACCTCATCTGTTAGTCGGTCCATCACCAGAGCAAATAAGAAGGGGATCAGAGCTGATCCTTATTGCAATCCCACCTCCACCTTGAAGCTATCTGTCACTCCTACAACACTTCTCATCACTGTCCTGCTGGCCTCATGCATGTCCTGTACCAGTCTAACATACGTTTCTGCAACTCCAGATTTCCTCATACAATACCACACCTCCTCCTTCGGCACTCCGTCATATGCTTTGTCTAAATCCACAAAGACACAATGGGGTTCTTTCTGACCCTCTCTGCACTTCTCCATCAGCATCTTCAAATCAAAGATGGCATCTGTGGTGCTTTTTTCTTGGCATGGCACCATATTGCTGCTCACAAATGGCCACCTCTCATCTAAGTCTAGCTTCCACAATTCTCTCCCAGATCTTCATTGTGTGACTCATCAACTTGATTCCCCTGTAGTTGCTACAACTCTTTACATCACCCTTGTTTTAAAAATGGGCACCAGCACATTTCTTCTCCATTCCTCAGTTTGTATGTTACATGTTGTGTATGTTACATAAACATCTGTATTCAGTAGTAGTAAACTGAGACCAAATTAGCTAGGCCTTCAGTTAAAAGTAATCTTGTAACAATCTTTAACATGCTGATGTAAAATAAATTTTAGAATTGCTGTCTGTTTGCAGCACTTTACGTTCAGTTTCACATTACAGGAGCTCACTGACTATGATGTGTTTTCACCCTTTTCATGCATCAAGCACATCTGACTTATGGGGTCACTAACAACAACCTGAGCATAAATGGCAACCCAACACTAAACAGAAAAGCTAAAAGGGACAATCCATCTGAACACATAACCTGAAAAAAATCTACCCATTTCTGTCCCAAGATTACCCTGAAGACCCTGTGTCTTACACAGTCTGTTGCGTAAGGACAACATGAAACTTCAATCCTTTAGTTTGAAACTCCACAGTGAACCACATAACTTAATGGTTTTGTACAATTGTTTCATGCAATGAAACCGAACCACAACTGTAATACTGAAAATTACCGATGTAAACTTAAATGGGATATTTAATCTTCATTTTTTTAGTAAAACTAAAATTTCATTGTGGATATTTGAATTTACAGGTTGCAATTCAATGCATGACAAGTCTTCACATGGTCAAAAAAACTTTGCTGGGCCAAAGTTTGCAGGGACAATAAGTATATGATATGTGACATTGAAAGTTTTAGTTTTTAGTAAGCGTGGTTCCCTAAAGATTTATCAGTTTGATTGTTAAGAAAAAATGTGACAATCAGTGATGGTTTTTACAAAACACATTCCTGAGCTATGCATCTTTTTGAATTGTTGAAAGTGAGACTAAAATGCTAAAATAATGTAATATTTTATTAGTACATTCAAAACAGTTTTTTTTTATTTTTTAGCCTAATTCACTGCCTTTATATCCGGACGCCTGCCTTAATTTCTTATACAGGAGTGTCGGCACACTTTGTTAGTCTGTCTTTCTAACCGGGAAAAGGAGATAGACATCTGGCTTGTCAAGGTCATTTATACAACCTTGCTCATACACATGGGGTGGGTCACCATAGCAACAGGTCTTGTTCCATCTTTCTATTACAAAGTATTTATCTCTGGATACCTCCCTGTACAGTTATCTATCTGTGTGTCTACAGATGTCAAAGTAGTAAACCTCGAAGCAAAGGATATGTGTGTAAACTGTGGCTGTGTCTCAGCTGGTGTATTTTTTTTTTTTTATCTAAGAAGAAGGGACAAATGTAAGAAAATTACTTATAATTGATAAGCTAGTTATGCCATGTTTAGTAATGCTGGATTATTTCTGCAATATTGTGGGAAAAAGAATGGTAACAAAAACAGACCAGTGGAGTACCCATTGAGAGATGAAATGTAAATAAAAACTGGAAAAAGTCAAAGCCTCTGTGACATTTTGCAAGCTGCGCTGACCTACAAAGACCATGTGGGGAACAATTGTCTCAAGTTGGCAAACTAATCAATGATTAAAAACTTATACGAGTGTGTAAATATGTATGATGAAAGCCTGCAGGTTTAGAAAAAATAAATAAATCTGGAAGCATTGTTCGGGTTCACAGCAGGAGAGGACTGGGTTTCAGTGGCAGCACTTCCAATTGTTACAGACACACACTTACACACACGAGTGCACACAGCACGTTGATCAGGTGCCAAGAATCGCTATATGGCTTGGACAATATGCTGATTTGGTTCAAAATGAACACCATCTTTGTGCCTTGACGTGCTCAAACCTTCACACTAACACAGAAAAAGATGACCATCTGTTACAATAGAGGACCCAGCTTCCTGCCAAGTTATGAACAGCTGACTGGCAAAGAGAGCGCACCAAAACGATGATGCATGCTCGTGCAAAATAGACAGGAATAATTCAGTCACTAAAGCACTGTTTCAGAGACAAGATATGAGGAAAACAAAGCAAGCAGACGTATATAGACATGCCATTTCAGTAAACAAGACAGACTTTTTAGTTTAAAAAGAAAGTGGCTCAAGAGAAATCTTCATATTTGAGAGTTGTGTATTTTATCAATGTGAAACACAATAACATTAATCTTAAAAAGAAACGAATGATAAATTTATAGCTTGATTATGTGTTTATAAGCTAATTCCAATTTGGAATCATGATGATTTCCTGATCAGGATTATACAAGTAGAAAATGGACTGGCTACTTTCAGGAGAAGGCACAGCGTGCTTGTTGGAACCGACTAAATCCACCATATGTTCGTGTTCAGAAATCAAACACTGGGAGTTTGGACAGGAGCAAAAAGTGTTACCTTGGGGACCATCTTTGGTAGACAACAGTTAATTAATACAGAAAAACAAGAAGACAAATAGCCATTGCTCTAGAGATTTGTTGGTTAAAAACAGAGTGATTGTGTCATTCTTTTCTTAATTTGTGACTTTTTGGTTTTGTCATCTTAGTAAGTTTTGTTTTTAGTTATCAAGCTTCTGAAACCATCATGACTTTAACCATAACCAGCAGTAATTTATTCTACATAAATCTGTCTGATGTGCATCATTTTTAAAGCAACTATTACTACAAGACTTTGACCATTTGAATGGAAACATGTCAAGTACATTTAAAACCTGACCAGAATGAAAATGGCTGACGGGGAGCAGAAAACAAAGCAGCACTGTGTTTTTTTTTAAACACAATACACCTTCTTAACAGCAAAACTTATGATTCCAAAAGACTAAGAGTACAAAGGGTTATTACAAGTTGCTTTATACTGTATCAAAGTAGCCCAACAGTAAAGAGTTAATAATTCCCATAAATCATGGCTGATTTACAGCAAATAAACTTTCATAACAAATTATTAGAAATTGTGTTTGTGCAAAACACAAACAAATGAGACAGACAGAACATTGTTCGTCAGTATGTGCTTATTATCTGCTTTATCTTAGAACTTTTAGATTTACTCACACTTTATAGACTTTCTTTCTTTCTGGGACAGTTCAGGACTAATTTGCAGCAGACTAATGTGGATGAAACACACTAAACCAATTAACATAGGATGTAGAAGTCTCACTTATCATTTCACCATATGTACATACATACATACATCACACCACATACACACACACAAAAACACACAGATACACACAGGTTTGTTTTGCTATCTTTATGGGGGCTTTGCATTGACTGCCATTCATTTTTCATTCATTTCTATAGCCTAACCCTGGCCTTTACCCTAAGCCTAACCATTACCAGTACATGCCTAACCCTAAACCTAACACATCCTCAACTCACACCTTAGTCCTAAACCTAACCAATGGGACTTTTTCTTATGAGGTCTGGGATTTGGGCCCCATAAGGAGCAGTTGGTCCTCACAGTGTAGTATAAATTGGAAAAATGGGCCTTACAAAGTGGCATGGACAAGGACAGACACACACAGATGCACATGCACACACATGCACAGACACAGAAAATAAATGAGACTCTCCAGGGAGAATAAGAAATGATGGGTACTATTTTGGAGAGGAAATGGGGAAAGAGGCCAGATAATGTATAGAAGACAGGAAAAGAGGGGCAGATATTTTGAACATTTAGGGAAGAGGAGCTATTTCTGTGCCATATTCATTCAAGTGTGCTTTGACAAATATAAACATATGGAGCACCGTGTGATTGGGCCAAAACACATCCTGATGTAAGTCATGCACACTATATGTGTTGTGATCTGGACTATATATGTCCAGGTCACAACTTTAATAAAAAGTAATTGCATATTTATTATAATTGCATATTAAACAAAAATGTTGTACTTATTTGATTTAAAAAATGTTGTATTTTTTAGATTCTTTTGTTGTTTTCAGCTTTTGTTGTTTTGTCACCCCTTGCTGTTAGGCGATGTTGATTTCTGTCATCACTGTGGCAGATTATTGGAAATATGTTTGCTGAATATTGATTTACTGTCACATTAAGTTTAGCTTTAAAAAAAGTGATGTGCTGTGCAAGAATTTGCTACACCAGCATATTCAGAGACAACTTGAGCTGTGGTGAAATAAAACACATTGCAGCATTTTGGTTTAACTTTTTAGTTTGTTTAGTGCAATACAACGTCCTCAAAATGAAAACTGACCTCGACACACGTTGCTATTGTCCGGTTCGTAGCCTGCCTTGCAGCTGCAGCTGCCGATGGGCACCATCCATTCTCCATCTCCGTTACAGTAGAGCTTTATGGGAACGTCTACCTCCTCTGCATTCGGGATGCAGCTTCCTCGGGCGATAACCAACGAGGTGGACTCAGCTCCTGTCAGAGTCTGCACAAAAATGGAATTTGTAAAAAAAAAAAAAAATATTGCTACAAAATCTAATTAATGTTTTTGTTTAATATAGCTTTGGATCGTACCTCCGGAAAAAAAGCAAAGTTTTGCACGATCATGGGACATTTCTTGTAGAAAACTCTAACAGCCAGAAGGGACATGCAGGCACCCAGATCCTGGAAAGCCAAGTGGAACCCTCTGCCTTTAGAAAGAGGCCCAAAGCTTCTCACTTCTGTGTTCACCTTCATTAATCTGCCCCCAAAATCCACCTGAGAGAAACTCTCATCTGCTGCAATGGTGTCCACCTGGTACAGGTAAAATAAAACCACAAAACAAAAGAAACCAGAAAGTTAAATATCCTAAGCAACTCAAAAGCAGCCAGATAAAATTGACTAATTAAAATGTTGAATTTGACAACAATACAATTATTCAGTCAGCATTTGAAAATGTCGATTGATTGAGTGTATTTAAATGAGAAACATTTTGTTTAAACTCTATTGAAACTGCAAAAAAGTAGTTTAGCATTATCTATTTATACTTATACAGTAGTCCCTCGTTTATCGTGGCGATGGTGGGGGTGTTCCATTCTCAGTCCCCCCACGAAATAAAAGTAGAACAACTAGTTAGTAGTAGTTTATTTTGCTGTGTGTGTACCGGTGTGTGTGTGTGTGTC